AAAAATACAGTGTCAAGACTCAAGTACCTGATGCATAGCTTGTTGTGCCGCCTGCGCTGCAGATTGTGCTGCTCTCTTCGCCTGCTGCAGCTGCATTTCTTCTCCTTGCAGCCCAACCTTCGCGTCTCTCACTTGCTGTTCCAGCCCTGCGAGGATCACTTGTTTTCCCGCAAGCGCTGCTTGGGCCGTTGCACTGGATTGTGAAGCTGATTGAGCTAGTGTGTTCTTAGCAACATACGCAGCTTGGTATGCAGCGGCTTGCTGATTTCCCAGCGCAGTTTTCGCTTGATTAGCGGAGCCAATAGCGATTGTTCTTAAGCCAGAGCCTCGGCTGAAGCCCTTTTTGCTTGAATCACCGGCGGCCGCTTTAACTTCTTGTAAATAGGCATCGTAGTGGTTTGACTCAGCGGGTTGCTGGGCTTGTGCTGAATTTTCATACTCATAATCGTATTCTGCTCTCTTAGTGTCTCGGTTTGCAGGGGCTGCTGATGTTAGGGTGATGGCACCTGAAAATGGAAAGAGAGGAGAATATATCATATATAATATCACTACTACTTAATGACTCGTTTTAAATAACTGATACTCGTAAAGATAACAAACAATTATACAATTGTCTACGCGTCAGTGCTTAAAATTACGACATTTACAAATAACCAATAATGTATGTAATTAATCTAATCGGAAGTACAGAACACGCGAAGATTATCTACGTTTACTATTCCTTATTTACGTCGTAACCAAATTACATAAATAATAATATTATGTATACGCATTTTATGTTTTTAAAATTAGTTTTTGTGTAATTGCTATGAAATGAAAGTCTTGTAATGAAATACAATGTAAATTTATCTTTTTTCCTTGAATGTTCTTGAATTTCATAATTACAGAGTCGGTATAAAAACATTGCGAAAAATCTTTAAGGGTTTTTTAAATACTATAAATTCTCTAACGCATATAAACCGGATTTTATAATATCATTTACTTCTGCTATCGAATGCAGGACAATTATTTTTTTCTGTCCAAATGTATTTTGTATGTAATTGTAGAAAGATTCAAAATTAGTTTTCTTTAATATTTCTGATACGACTACTTTGTTTTTATAACCTTACTAGCTGCAAACGTCGTTTTACCATGTATATTATTTCTAGGAAACTTTTTTTTAGTTATAATAAAACTAACTATCTACTATAATAAATAATAGGAGTTGATCGTAGAGGGGTGAAAATTAGGAGTTGTATGTATTTTTGTATGCTGTATCATTAAAAAAATAAAAACAAAAAGTTTTGGCTAAAAAATCAAAATAAAAAATTTAAGGGTGGGAATACCCTTAACATTTAGGAGGATCAAAAATAGATGTTGTCCGATTCTCAGACTTACTGAATACGCATAAAAAATTTCATAAGAATCGGTCGAGCAGTTTCGGAGGAGTATGGGAACGAACATTGTGACACGAGAATTTTATATGTTAGAATTTAGATGTTACTACCCTACTCATTATGTTTTTCTAGTGTCACCAGTTTGATATCGTGTACAATTTGTTTATGTACATGTTATATATTATTTATTGGATTACGCGCAAATTATATATAAAAATAAATAAAAACTGTTTTAACTTACATATAAGAAACAATACTCTTTTAAACGCCATAGTGCTACCAGACGGACTGAAATCACAAAAACACTTATTAAAATTTAGTTAAAAAAACAAAAAAATATCACTTTGCCCCAACTACCTTCCAAAACTTTCACGTATACTTGGAATGGTTTATCTATTTTCGGGGTTGTCCCCTTTACGTTGGTGGTACAGTAATGTACGGACTGAAAGTCGATATTTCTATTTATAGCATTCGTTCGATTGGGTAAACTGAAGAATGAAGTATCTCTATAGAGTGGGGAATCACGAAGCGCTTGTGAAAATGTCACGTTTAAACAAAGACAATTTTTGAACTATTCAATGATCTCGTGATGGATAATTTTGTCAAATCTAGTAGCCTACTTAAAGCCCACTGAAAAGTAAGTTTAAATGAGTTCTTTACCAGCCGAACACACATTTTATTAAAAAATTAATGGTCCACACTCGTGTAACATATATTTTTTGTTCAACTACTGTGAGCTGTTTTGTTCTTTTCTATTGTAGTACGGCGCTGTTTATTTGGCTCAGTTGTAACAGCTCTAGTCATATCAGTTTTAGATTTATAAGTTTCACGTTAAAATTATTTTTATGATGCAAATATTATATCATCTAGCTTCTACAACTTGGGTAGACAAACAATGTATATAATAGTATTGTCTATATATAAAAAGAACACTCATATATTTATAAAACGGGATTGGCTGGTACTGCTTACTTCGTAGTTTGTTTTTCAAAGTTATCTTATCTTTATTAGATTTTTGTTAGGTCATCTACCAAAATTGAACACTAGATAAATTAAAATCGTTAAAAATAAAATAAAATTAATACTATTAGATACAATATTTAATACTGATCTAAAGTTCATGTTTGTAAAATTTATAATATACCTAAGCGTTCATCCATGTGTCCACAAAACCTGTCTTAGTGAATCATAAACTATGTATCAACTGGCAACTATTGCGTGCAAGACCCTAGGTAAATTCCGGTTCTTTGCTATGGATTATTTTCAATTCTGCTGTAAAATTCCTTAAACTAATCCAAAAGCATTTATGGAGTAGTATTTTACGCAGCAATTATTGTTTCGCTCGAATACGGGACCTATTACTAGCTATGAAGGCTTTAATTGTGATAGGCGAGGTTATAAAACGTTATAATACGTATAGATCATCGCTAGTTGCTACGGTCAAATGAGTCTGAAAGTATCTGAAAAAATGTTTCACCAATAGCTTTTAATACAAATTTCACTAAACAGACTGGAAAGTGTTATTTAACAAAGTCGTGGATTATACGAACAATGAAAAACCAAAATCGAGACTTAAGGCTGTACCTAATCGAATCATCAAATTTCACTTCCGTCTCTTTGTCCAAGGTAACTGTTATTCGTAATATTACTTATATTAGAAAATACAAATCTTCATAGTGCATGTATGTGAACAAACAATTTGAATTTCCCATTAATAAAACATATATATAGGTAACTAGCTGGCCTGGCGAACATCGTACCGCCTAACAGTCGATTCTTTATTTTTTTAAATACTTATTCTGCTATTCGGGACACCGGTCTAGCTAGTAAGATAAAAAAAAGAAAGTTGATAAGACAACAAATACATTATGTCAAAAAATAAAAATTTACCTTCCCGGAACCCCTCCACTAACCCTTGAAACTTACGATATGGTATTAAATTTCAAATTTACTTTTAAGTATTATTACGAATATTTTGTATGGGAATATAGATGGTTGTTTTTAGACTTTTTCACTCATTTTATTTTAATTTTTTCTCTCCGTAAGAACTATCCTCGTACTTCAAGGAATATTATAAAAAAAAGAATTGGCCAAATTGGTCCAGGCGTTGTTGAGTTATGCGCTTACCAACACATTTTGCGATTCATTTTTATATTATAGATATGCCATTATGAGTAAAGTGAGTTGTTCTCAGTTATTCTTCATAGATAGTAATATGTAATATTCAATACATCAAAGCTATCGAATGTTAATTAAATTAAGATTATATTATTTGATTAGGGTGCCAGGGTAAATGACGATAATTATATTTTGTATCTTTAAAATACAAAAAGACCTGATTGATTACTTTTGCCTATCTAATGTGATACATTAATAGGATCGTACAAGGTATATTTTTATAGAATCATTCTCAAATCATTCATCATTGCTTTTAGTTTCAAGCTTACTTTCGGATTTATGTAGGTACTTTAGAATAAACAATAACTACATTTTTTCAGTCCTCGGTAACAAACCGTTTGAAAGTCTCATAGAACATAGGTAAATACGAGCAAAAAATATGACATTATTTGAATATCGCACCTTGGCCTGCTTTTTGATAAATGTTACCTAGGAATTTCTTTTACTATTTGTAAATACAGAATTTGTTTATTACACTACAGGGGTTCAAATTCAACTACGTTAATTCAAAGAGCCATGAAAAGGGAATAAGTTTTTAAGAAGTACCTATGTTAAATGAAATTAGACTACGAAACCACTGACTAAGCTGAATTAAATATAGTTTTTTTATTTGCTTGGAAGTATATAGTTTTATTCATCATAGCGCTCGGAAGATAAAAAAAGGTCTCTTTGCTTTATAGGCAAACGGGTATTAATCTGATTTGTTTTTTTTAATAAATACCTAATTAAACCAACAATTACAGATAATTGAACACTCTGAGTACCTACTTAATGTTCTCGATACGTAGTAAGGTAAATTTAACAGGGCTATTCAACCTACTGAATAGGTATGTATGTAAAAAAGTCGAAGGCATTCTCATCTTCAAACATAACATCCCCTATGAAATTTCATGAGAAAGATGCATATAAAATACATGGAAACCTATTTTTCAAATTTAAAATAGATTACGACGCGGCTTAGTGGCAATCAGCAAATAATTGTATTGCAATATCGTCACGTGCCGTCTCGCACTTCGGTTGATCAATTGACACTTTATGAAACTGATGTTCCGTAAGCTGCATTGCCCGTTTCATTCCAATCTTTTTACATTTTAAGGAGAAATTTGTCACTAGTTGAAGTTAGATAAAAATATATAACCGAGATGCAGCATCTGGTGTGAAGGACTCACAACCATCACAAAAGCTACTAAGAGCTCTACAAAGCTTCATGATAGAATCCAATAATAATTCATCTAGCCATACACATTGTTTAATTATTTTCAAACAACTTGGGTAGGTTATTATCGTATTCGATGTTGTTATCGACAATTGACATCTGCGCTGACAAATAATGTGATGACAGTTGAATAATGACAGTTTGATTTTTTGACATTTATTTCCATGTGTTGTTTTCAACAATAAAGGTGTTTCAAATTTCAATACTTAGAAGCAAATTAATAAACAACAATGATTGTAGAGAAAAAGAAGAAAAGGGTATCAAAAAGGAATAAGACGGCATGGCGCAAACATAGTGATATTCGTGATGTAGAGGAGTTTTTAGAAGAACAAAGATTAGAAGAACGACTTGGGTAAGGGTTTAACACCTGTATAACCTCTTAGCAGTTTTTCTTACCCTGTTTTTTTGATTAAATCGTCCTTGAACTATCGACTTTCTAAACATTTTATCCCTTTTGGTGAGTTTACCTTCTGATTTAAAAATCTTGTTGATATTTCCTTTACCTTCATTATAGCTTCTATATATCTAGAAAAAATACTTTGCAATAATGGCATTATTACTCTAACGTTGATAATATTTATGTGTTATTGCAGTCGTTTTGATACTAAGAAGGATGATGAATTGTTTGTCGTTGACACGCAAGGTGATGGAGATAAAGAAGACAAGCCTGATATTAAGCCATTATCAGCCAAGCAACAGAAAAGAGCCAAACTTAATGAGACTCCTAGATGTTTCCAAATATTGCTATCTTCATCTAAGGTATACATTTCATCTCAATCTAAGAATAACAACTTCTTAAATTGGAGATTCATAAAAATAATTATGTCTGTTTTTTTAATATGAGAATTTTATATAGATAATATACATATTTTACTTAACGGGTAGGATAAGCCTCGAGAGACAAAACTAAGAATTAGTCTTTAGTCTGAAATTTATTTTTATATGAGTCTATGGCCTCCGTTTTATTTGCGTTGTTGATATATTGAGAATAAGTTGTGAAATCAAATCTAACTCAATTTTAAAAAGGAGTGTGCTAGTTATAAGACTTGTATTTTGTAGGTGGAAGATCCGAATAAAAAACGTAATATTGTGAAAGGTTTTGGAACCAAACCAACTGCTTTGTCTAAATTAACATTAAAGAGGAAAATTGAAAATGGTTCTTTACAAAAGAAAATTCAACTTGTAAAAAAGAATATGAAAATTGCAAGAGAAAGAAAGAAAAAATCAAAGGTTGTTAGAGAAACATTTGATAAGAATTTGTGGGGTCAAGATTGTAAGTAGTTTGTTTTACTTTGAAGTTAGTTAGTGGAACCTTTTTTCTTGTATTGTGGTAAGTCTTGTATTACTCCAAATATGGGAAAAATAAATACATCATTTTCTCTTTCACAGTTACTTTATACACTATAACATAATACAGTGTAAACTCTATATAACGACACTCAAGGTATGCATATTTTGATGCTACAAAGAGTTGTCGTTAAATGGAAAGAAAAATCTGTATTAGAAAAAGAAAAAGTTTATTTCAGACTAGTGTTAGTAATTACATAAAAAACAATTCTTATTTGAACTCTATTGCGTATAGTCTGTTATTTTTGTCTTCTTTTGCTGCACCAGTAATTATGTTGTATTTTTTATTTGTTTTATTCATATTTTGCTATATTGAGGCATCTTTGTGATAAAGCACATGTAAGCAATCCCAATTTGTAATCTTAAGAACGGATTTCTTAAAAAGTTCGGTACGTATGATACCGACAGTCGAGTTTTACGGGCTAGGACAATACAGCGACAAAAGAACGTACACAGTTCCGCAGTTTTAATTAATTTCGGCGACTTAAAAAGTACTTTTTATTATTTAATTCTCATTATTGAGAGTGGGTGTAATGCTATGTAGAGTGTAACATTGTATGAAAGACAAGCTTAACCAACCATAGCCCAGTGATGTTGACGCTTAAGGGGGTTTTTTGTTAAATCGAAGGCCGTCACATGGAGTTTACACTGTATTTGAATATTTTCTAATTATGAAACCTCCAAACTATATATTTCAACTAAAGCTATAATTTCAAACACTGTCTTTTCAACTCTACAGCACTAGAAGTAAAAGGCATCCCAGAAACATTGTGTGAAGAGTTTATATCTACTGAAGCCCAGTTACACAATGTTCTAACAAAACAACGTCTTAGACCCAAACCAACCCCTCCCAAGACAGTGGTCACTAGAGTTGCTATCGAGACACCACACCCTGGTGTCAGTTACAATCCTACTTTCAAGGTAGTTATTTTTATTATTTTTCACAATCTTATAATGAGTGTCCCCTACACTCGTTGGTAAATATTTTATTATTGTATACTAATGCATGCTCATGCAGCTTCTTTGCATGCAAAAATTAATTCATGTTTTTGTGTGTTGACATTAGAAAAAATTTCACAAACAAAGTAATATTTGTTCTCCTTTAGCTGTTGTTGACGCAGCTACTCGTATAATAAAAAATTATTGACTTTTCATATAGTATTTTAAGGTATACAAAAACATTTCTTTAAATATTTCAGGAGCATCAAGAGTTGCTTCAAGATGTGGTAAAATATGAAGAGAAAATGATGAAGAAGGAGGCTCACTTAAACCGAGTCACCACTAAAATGTTCAGAAAGATCTCTGCTAAATCTAAAGAGGTATGATAATTCTCATTAATTCTGCTAGCTATGCTAGGGTGTACGAGAAAATATTAACAAAATTGAGACAGAAAATATAATTAATATAATATTACTAAGTATTACCAATTCGCAAAGGGTTTACCGCAAAGCCTCCTTTTTTACTATTTTTGTTAGCATTTCTCTAATTATGTTTTTTTTCATCCACTAGTACTTGTTTACGAATTTAATGTGTATGTATGTTTATTCCAATGAAATAAATATTTCAGAACCAATGGATAGAAGAGATGAGTGTTGGTTTTCAACCTAGCAGACCTCAAGACGAATCAGACGTCAGCGACAATGAATATAGGGCTGTCAACGCACCAGTCCAAAATAAGAAAAAAGACCATAAAGCTCGGCGCAAGCAGAAAGAGATGATCTTGGAAAAAGAAAGGCTTAAACGACAGAAGATTGATAAAAAGAAAATTACTGATATTTACAAGTATGTATTGAATATTTTATACTTACAATAACTTAAAAGTTTATGTTAAAAAAGATTAATTAACATGGTAGTACTCTATTTTAATGTTATAATCAAAGCTTTTGATAATAATGTTGTTATCATCATAAATTTATGAAAATGAATGTCTCACTTACTACTACTATGTATATGAATTTTTTGAAAATATAGACATAATTTTACTAACTGCTGACTGTATTCAAGAAAGTTACAAATACGCCATTGTTCATAAAAAAGTATTCTTAGTAGTTTGGTAGTTGCTTACCCTGATATTTATCTTATCATTTTAATATTTTTGCAAAAAAGTTGGTTTCATTAAAGGCTGAGTGCAACGTGCGGCCTTATTGGTTATTAGCTCTTACAGACAACCCATGCTAACAGTAGCACATAATTGCAAACCATATACGTAATAATCTTTATCATATGAACAATTTAAATAAAAATACTTTATTTTAATGTACTATAATAATAACAGATAAGTAGGATAGGAGATAGACAAAAGGTTCCTTTTGCCTCTTGTGATTCTATCATTTTAACATTTTCAGACTCCGCAAATTGAACACATCAATATCGACGAAAGAAAAGCGTTTGGAGTCGGAACGCAAGAAACGTGAAAGCAAGAAGCAGGCCGAGGCGAAGACGGCATTGCCTGCCCTCAACGCCCATAAGGCTCCTGTTAAAGAACCAGACTTTGTTCCCCCGGAACAACTTTCTGGCGACTTACGGTCCCTGGATGCAAGCAGTAAGTGGTCATGCATATTTGCTATGGCTTTTCTTATTTTCTTAGTATACAGCAAAATAATAGTCTCAATAAGGAATAGAAGAGATAATCTTACAGCCTTATAAGAAAAATGAAGTGAAATAGACATTAGAGGCGTTTTTTACTACAATAAGTAGGTGACGCTGTAAAATAGTGCCTTTTAATTACAGCAAATCTCCTTCGAGATCGATTTGAGTCGCTCCAAAGACGTGGAGCACTTGCTGCTTCCAAGGTGATGATGAAGAAGAATCGTAAGATCAAGAGTTACTTCAAGGCTGGCCACAAAGTCACAGATCAAGATGTCGAGAAATACATGCAGAATCTAAATAAGAAAGTGAAAATATCAAAGTAAATGCAATTGAGATTGTAGAACAATAAAATTATTTTGAAATATTTTTGTGGCCTTTTAGTGAAGTATGTGTAGATGTTCAAAATCATCATCATTTTCGCTAAAATCAAATATTGTAGTTTAATAGTAATAAGGAAGGGTTGCTTCATTTGTGTTTTTTTATCTAGCCCAAAGCATTGTCCCAAAGCATCTGCCAATCTCTCGCTGACCATAATTCATGAAAAGCCCTCGAAATGTCGAGTTACGTAAATAATGTAATAAATTCGCGTATCTGTTGTGTATATAGTTTAGGTTTTTTGAAATAAAATAACGAAATTGTATAAAAGGATTTATTACAAAATAGTCTTATGCTACTTTACATTACGTTTATAATACAGTTGGCAGTGAAGTAGGATTTAAGTATAATGTAGGTAACTCCCATGTACTTAGTACTCGATTATAAAATATCAGAATACACTAAGATATTAGTCGTATCTTAAGAAGTTTTTATTTCATATTTAATATATTCATAGATCGAGTTTTTCTAGTCTTAAATCTATTCGGCAAGTCAATAACAACAATAAATTAAGTTTAGGCTATTCTAAGGTATCTTAAAAATTATCCAATTTTAACAAGAATCTTATAATATCTACATATTGAATCACATTTACAACATACTTAGGGTTTTACGAGCTAAAGGATTTGTGTAGACGGAGTAGTCCATTTTATACTTTTGGAAACCTATTTATATAAAAGTCGTATTAACCCCATTTTGCAGCTATTGTGTATAATGATCGTAGTAATTCAATTGCTCTTGTGTCCGATTGTGTTTTGTCCTGAGCTGCTATTCTCGCTTCCGCAATGGGACGATCAGCTAAAATCGCCCTTGTTTCTGGTGTCGTCCGTGCTTGAAACTTCCTAGCACCTCGTCTCGTTGGAAACGTAGTTCTTATTATATTAGCTGTGGTCGTTTCCGATTTAGTTTGTGATTCTGCTGTCGTCGGGTTTGAGAGCGAGTTGACAGCTTTAGCGTCAATATTAAGGGATTTACCACTTCTATTTCCAATTGGTATTCTGTCCATACGTCGCTGAAACTGAGTAGTTTGTATATAGTCTATGTCAGGGATTGTAGTCTCTGTTGCTTCTTCTTTTGCAATATCTTCCATGTCCTTTTGAGAAACTGCCATTAATGCTTCTAGCAATGCCTTCTTTGAAGCTTCGGCTGTCGAATTGTGATCGTCGTCACATGTTTGTACTAATAGAAGTATTAAACGTTTAACAGTCTTTGATTTAGTTTTCTTCATGACGTTCATTAACTTTTGCGTGGTTGTTGAGTTCATTCCTCCCATAATTTCTTTCGCTTTTTCTACAACGGTGTCGGCGATTGTTGTTAAATCTTGTGATATTTCTGTTGATGTTGGTTCTCTAAGAGCTTTCCCTTCTCGATGGCTACCCAAGTCATTTGATGTAGTTACTTCAGTACGAATTGTCGATGAAGGTACTTGTTCTGTCGTCGTGTAATATGTCGTTGTTGGGGCAAATGTTGTAGAAACCTCGTTGTCGGTTTGTTGGTTCAATTTTGAAACGCTTTGATCGCGAGAATAAACACTTAAACCGTCATTTAATGTTATTGGGTCAATTATGGTACTTTGCCAATTGTCAAAAGTCGTTGGCCATTGGAATTCGTATGTTGTCTTTTCCGCACCAGGCGATGTAAAAACACTACTAGAAACAGGTGCCGTTGTGGTATATGCCTCTGTTTGATCTTTGACTGTGGTTGTAAAGCTTTGTGTAGTAGCCTGTATTGTGGTTGTGTCAATATCAGGTATAGTAGGAGCTTCTAAATCGAATGATGGCTGTTTTACAAAATTTTTGTTATGCACTTCGAGTTGTTTTTCTTGTCTGACACTGTTACCTTGCGGTGACACGAATGATTGACTGTGAGCTCTTTGTAACTCTTCTTCATTTTCTAATTCAACACTGTCAGCGTCTGCGACATAAGTCGGTCGGGGTTCTGGGAATGTAGTTCTAATTTTTTTACTTTCAAACATTTGATGGGAATTTGTAATGGGTTGAAGTGTTGAGTCAGTCACGTCATCATCCCAAGCTGAGGGTAAATTTGTAACTTCAGTGTAGTCGCTTATTGTTCGTGCCCCGGTGGGTATTAAGCCGTAGCCGTAGGGTTTTTCTGAATCGTTATCTGAGTTATTTTTCAATTCACCATATTGTGATAAGGTGTAGCTATCTGTTGTGGGACGTTCATATGACTTCGGTGACCGTGTACTGGGAGAGTAAAATGGTATTGTCGGTGTTTGAGCAGTTGTATAAGACGCTGATATTCTTCCGCAACATCTAAATGGATTTGTGGGAGTTGTTGGTACATACGTAGTTGAGTAAATTGGCATCGTTGTGGGCTTTTGTGTAGTTGTTGTTTCAAAGGTGTAATCAGTGGCTATTTTCAATGCTTTCGGATCTCGGATAGAGTTACTGGGATCTCTAATTTTGTGATCGTCTGAAAATCCTAATATTTCATCATCGTCTTCATTTATTGTGGTTGTTGGTTCTGTATTAGTTGGATCGTCTGTTGCGGTTAACATGTCACCGAAGGATGGAGGAGTTGGTCGAATGTCTGAAAGAACTTTTCTAAATTGTACAGGATCTTGTAAATAGGCAGAAAGTGCATGTGTAAACACTTGAGCCAGTTCACGTATCTGAGGAGAGGTCGCTAGCGGCATTTGGCTCATTTGAAAAGACAAATCTTCCATAATTTCATTATAAGTTCCATTTGGATCCAATTTGATTTCTTCCAATAACTCATCATTATTAGATCCGTGTCCAAACAGGCTGCTGTATTTGTTAATAGTCTGCTGGCTAAATATATTTGGTAGCCCGTCCTCCATAGTTTCAAAGTCATCAAAAGCTGGAGTTGTAAGTTCGTTATCTTCTTGAGGTTTTTCTGTGGAGAGGTTGTCCATGGCTGTTGCATAATATATAGCTAAAGAGTGTAGTGTTTTTGGTGTTAAGGATGGTGGGATGACTAAACCCGGTCGGTTTGGTTGGTCTCCGTAATATTTTTCGGAAACGGTAGTTAAAGTTGGCTCTGTGTGATCTGAAATATCATAATTATTTTTATTTAATAATCTCTGTTTTCGTTCTTGATATGGTTGTTCTGTTGTACTCAGAGCATCAACTATGGTAGAATAAGTCTCGAATCTGTTGGTTGAAGCAGTAATTCTGGCATCCCTTGTTGTATGAGGAATTTTCGTAGACGACTCAAACGTCTCTTGATTCCTTTCAGGGGCAGTATTCCATGAGATATTATTAGCATCCCCGCTTCTTGCTGTGGCCTTTACAATTTTTTCAGTCGTAGCATAAACTGTTCGGTTCTTTTCTTTTTCAATAAAGCTTTTAAGCAAGGAAACACCAGGTCTTGTATAGGGTTCACGGTTCTCATTAATGGTATTAACATAGCTCTTTGTGTATGGGATCAAAGTGTGTCTCTTTGTGGTTGCCTCCTGCGTATATTGTGCTCCATTTTGAGGTTTGATATCGTACAACGTTGTTAGGGATGGATTACTTTTAGTTTTAACAGATTGGGGTGGCAGGTTTGGGCTGTACACAGGATAAGGACGTAAATTTTTATTATTGTAGTCTCTTAAGAACTGTCTGTTTTGATTCTGCGCAAACGATGCAGTTTCTGCAGCCTCCTGCATTTCTCTAATGCTGTTATAATCGCCAGCGGGAATTGTAGTTCTATGAGTCGAAGCGTCATAAAACGTTGGTAAAGTGCTTCTAACCGCACCGTTTCCGAAATCATTAGATATAAGTTGGACAAGATTTCTCCTTTTATTTTCAAAAGTTGCAGTTGCTTGGGCCCTTTGAGTCGGATTGATATTGAAAAGAGCTTGATAGCTTCTGGATGATGGTTTTGTCGTATGTATGTTAGGAGATTCGTTGGACAATCTCTGTCTATGTCTTATCAATCTTTCAGTAGTGCTGGGAACATTGACAGATGCTCGCCTTGATTCTGCGCGAACGTTAGTCTCGCCTATTTGCTGAAGATCTGCGTTCTTGCTAAGGCTTTTCGTGACCTTTTGCGACTTTTTTTGTTCGTTGGAGTAGTACTCGACGCTGGATTCATAAAGCGCTGGTGAAGAGGCGCAGTCCACCTTGAACCACCAGTCACATATGAGGTGGGACTGGCTGAAGATGGTGCCGTTGGGACAGAGGAAGGAAATCTTGCGTGAGGTGTCACAGATATGGAAAACCTAGAAGCAATTATAAATATTAGTTTTGTATGAGGATTGATAAGAATATAAGGTTTATAGAATATATTGTATTGATTTGCATCATTGCTATCATTCTGTCTTAGTTCTCATATAAGATTTTTTTTTCAGCTACAATGATAAATTTGCACAGTATTCATAGTAATTCGATTTCTATTTCTGTGTAATACGTATAATAAAGCATAGAATTAAAATAAAGTATGTTCTGTTAATATAAGAGCTTACCTGGCAGTCAGTTTCCAAGTCGGCATAATATCCTGTTGGCACGTTCTTGCAGTTGAATCCGGTATTGGGGATGTTGGGAAGTGCTGGAAAGTCTATGCCTGCTTTACCGATTACACCTGGAATTTTTTATAAAGCAATTAGTTTATTGTAATTTCATATTTTTTAAGATGTTAGAAGAAGTTAGACGTTAGTTAGAAGAAGAGAAGTTATTTAAATTTGTTCAGGAATAGTGCTGTAGGTATCGGTACACTTCTTATCGATTTTATTTACCTAAAAACGTAATTATTTCATCAGTACTCATGATAACGTACCTTGGTGTTCAACAATGTCCAGATCGGGTTGGCTATGAGACGGTATGAGTCTCTTGACAAGCGCCTTTCCCTCCGTATAACTCTCGAAGCCAGCGGCGCCCATGGCCTCAGCTAAGGCTTGGATTGACTCTGCACTTGGGGCGGGAATGTAGAGATCATTCTTTGAGTCCTAGAATTACGTTTAATTTCTTAAGATTACCTTTGCACCAGATTGAATATATGTCGTGTTATTTTCTGTGCTTAAGAGATAAATCGAAAATAAATTCATATCAGCTTAGATCATACCTATTGTGTTGGAATCGTCATTGCTATCGCTTTGCACTTTACTTATGGTTAAGATAATATTCACAGTCGTATGTTAATATCAATATATTTTTGTTTTAAACGACAGATATAATACGGGAATCACACTTCGCACTAACATGAAATCATAAATATGACACAACTAACCTTTCTTCGTTGTGCTCGTCGCGATCCTTCCGCTGAGTTCGCAAAACCTGTGAATTGTTATAATTCGTTTATAAGATAGAAAAATCAGTACAAAGTAGCTGGTTCAAGTAAAATTCAAACGCCCTGCCTAAGTTTTTTTATATATAAACTTTTTATATTTTAACTTGGAGGTCCAGAAACAATTGCACTTAAAAGACGTAAGATTGAAATATAAATAGTAACAAGGAGGACGTACATTTTTGTAAAGACATAAATAACACTACTAACTATTCTGTTGAAGTCTTGCTTAAAATTATAGCAATTTGCTACCACGCGATGTCAGATGTTGACCCCGTCGACACTTATATGATTTACGTTAATTTTAACTTACAAAATTGTTCTAAAATGAACATAATTTATATAACTTTATCTACTATTACTATATGATATTTTAGTGTAGTTATAATACAACATGCTAGGTTATAATCAAAAGACCTCGCGGCTAAGGAACGCTTAGGTAAGCGGGTTAAAACATGTTAAAGGTATTTTAAATAAACAAAATTGTTGTAACGTTAAAAAGTTGTAATTGAAGAAACAAAAATTTTTATGGAATTTTTATTGGAATTTAACTATTAAGTTTGTAATGGAAGCCTGGGAATCCTGACTTTTACTAAAAAGGATTCCCAAATCTTGCACATTAAAAAAAGAAGATAAACAGTCATATACTTTAGTGCTACCACTTTTCTGTTGCTGGTCAATAAAGATCTAGTTGGGATAAAGTCGACCAAGTCTAGCAACTGTCTCAGGATATAACAAAAGAAGTAATCTTCAAGTATTTAATACTTTCAAGTGTGTAAATACATTTGAAATACGTTTTGAAGATTCATATTAAATCGTGTTAATTTTTCATAGCCTTCTTGATCACGGTTAGGTTTCTCTCTACATCTCGTGTTATATAACTTTTCTAGATTATGTTGCACAATACAAAAGCAAACATCAACTTACGATACCGGATCTAGATATCAATGACAATTGTACTTGCAATACAATTGATCCTATGCAAATGTTAGCATAATCGATGAGTGACATAACTTTTATAATACCCGTATAACTCAATGAATTGAGGCAGGTTATGAATAACAAAAGTTCATACAGATATTATTGTATTGTAATTTTAAAGACTGATTAGAAGCTGCTCGTGCAGCGGGGGATATTTCCCATTTTTTTATATTATACTATCTTATAGTATATGTCGTGTCTTATGGTCCAGCGGTTCAATGTAGAAAAACTATATCTCCAAGCGCTATTATTGGTTATGGCTGAGGTGTCTATGTTAGCCTGTTTTTGGAGAATCATGTGTTTATTATTCTTATTACAAATTTATTATTTCCTTCGGCAGAATGCTTAGTAAGTAATAAGTAAAATAGCAAAACAATCTAGTATTAAACCATTAAATGCCTATTATGTATCTGTTTGAAAGTATTTAAAGTAACAGCTTTGCCTATAAATTTGAATCCTAAAAGCTAAAGGTTGCCCAGATATTTCGGCGGGATTTTTACTCATTTTCCTACGTAAGTTGTGTGTTAATGTGTAACACGCAAGTAAAGATAAACGCTGTTTACTAGATGTTTATTTCACAATAATTTCACATTCAAACCGAATCGTATTGAATAAACTAAGCGATGACTAAACCACGTCTAACGAACTAGAACATAGCCTAAACTGATGAAAAAGCGATTCAAAAAACTGGTACCGTGTCAAAATACATAACATGTATTGTTCCTATAACATCCCGTAATAGAATATAGAAAGCTACTATTGTTTAATTTTATGTAATGTTCTTATGTAAGTATCTGACTTTGTCCTCACTTTACTTATCAAGCTCGTTACTTAGTCTGCAGGGTACAGTGTTATTCCTTAAACCCTCAATTTTTTATTTATAATAGCGACGAATACAAATTGTAAAATTGATGTTGACCTTGGCATATATACAATTTCTTTAGGTTTTCGCAAATAGATAGGTATAAAAATTACATCATACATAACTTTACGACACCGTGAATTTCAATTTTCATAGAAGCAACTCATTGGTGAATCCTATAATTTGTCTCAAAAGCAAAATTTTTATACATTATTCTAATCACTCGGACCAAATCATTGGAGTTGAAAAAAGGAGTATAGAATTGTGATAACTTTCTTTTTTATTAGCAGGTTTATATTTATTTATATATTATTTCATAATAAATTATCATTTGTCGAGCACGTTGAAAACACCGTTAGGAAAGCTTACCAAATTCTATGTTTCATCTTGCGTACTGCAAAGCCAAAGAATAGAATATTCATACGGGATTGTTTTCTAAAATCCCTATCCTGCTACCACTATATACATTACACGTTTGACTAATCAATATCCATTTTACACGTCTGTCTCATCATCACCTGTTTGTGGTCATCGTTTAATGGTCTTGTTATGTTTGTGTCGGGTTTACAATAAAACTGTGATGAAAAGTGAGTCTGTAGTCATTTCCAGAATTTTTTGCTTTGTAGTATTCTTACCTAATTGCTATTTATGTATTACATTGTATATTCGCGGATGCTTGGCGGACCCATGCGCAGTGGCGTAACTATACCCTCTTGGGCCCGTGGCAAATTCTTTTGATGGGGCCCTATCAGTAAAAATCGTCACGTTGTACTCAGTTTCATTTTATTAAAATTCGAGATTTTCAGCGTACTAAATTACACGTTGTATATGTCCCAATAATGGCCATAGGCTTCCTCTCTTAGGCGAGAGGGAATGGTCTGTAGTCCCCACGCTAGCCTAATACGTATTGGAGACTTCACATTCATCCATAGAACATAATATCTCTTGGGCAGGGGCCCTCTTGGGTCGGGTGCCCGTGGCATTTTTCCAGCCCTACCACCCTATTGTTACGCCACTGCCCATGCGGCTTCTTCGATACAAATAGTAGCCTCAGGAGTTGTGTGCTGCGATATGGCGGGGTACTCGATTGTGAGAAAGTTATATGATGGTTAGCGCTGGGCCTGATTTCTTAAGTTCTCATGTAATATTTCCTAACATATTATATCCTTTTTCTAACATATTTTTATACATATTTGATTGTCTTGTTTTAAAAATTATGCCTTTGTATTTTACGAGTAAATTGGACCATCGCTGACATATTACAAGAGTATTATTCATTGAATACTTACCAACAAGCAAAATAGCCAAAAATATATTTGTCAAATTCATCGTGCCACTCCACCGCCACCGCATTTTAATCTGAAAAGATAATAATTAATTTAATAAACATCTTAAACTTTACTCATATCTGCGGTCGAAAATATTTACAATACATTTGTTTCTATGCTCTATATTATAATAGGTTTCTATGGACTTAGAAATTGTACGTTTATTTTTAAATATTATTATTTTATTCATAATTTTTTCCTTTAGATTACAAAGATAATTGGTTAGTAAGTATAGCTTCAAAAATTAATTTTAGTGAACAAATATATTGTGCGACGCAAATATTTTAATAAAAAAAATATAAATAATAAAATTCGTTGCGATTTAAATGACACAAGCAATTCATTGTTAATGCTTTTGCTACTTTGCAATTAAGTTTTAATTAAAACCTTTGTTAGCTACTATACTAGACAATAATACAAAGTATTTGTATGTTTCTGTTTATGATTTTTGTTTAATATTATAATTCAATTCAATATAAGCTTATTGCATATTCACCCTCTAAGCTCATAAGCACTATTTAGAAAAATGCATAATTATTTTGAATTCATGAGTTGTATTGGCGTAAGTGTTAATGCGTATTTTACAACGGACAATTTACAGCAATGACGGTAATATTAGTCCCGTGAGCCACGTGTAATACCTGCATGTATATTTTGTAAAGATATGTACTGTGATAGATAACAGACGAAACTGAAGATAAGTCATGAAACAAGATGGTGGAGATATATTGGTAAAGATGTGAGAGAGAAGACCCTAAATTTGGGGTGCGGGGGGGGGGGAGGGGTGGGAGGGGGTAGTAATCACCCCCACAAATTTTGGGCTTAGGAAACCAAAAAAAAAAAAAAATTTTTTTTTTTTTTACAGTACTTAATCTGAAAATGATCGCAAGAAATCAGTGTCTAGTATATATGTAAAGCCAAGTTTTAAAAAATTATAATAAAATAACGCACATTCACGTAAAAAGTAACACAGGTTATTTTAAAAAATATTAGGTAACGATTCGATAACGATGCGCCCAAATTTGGGGTTGCTGGGGTGGTGAGGAAGGGGGGGAAGGGTGTAGTAATCACCCCCTTCAAATTTTGCGCGCCGGAAACAAAAAATTTTTTTTAAAAATCTCACCTATTTATCTACTCCAACTCGGCGTCCTGGTCGCCTTCGGCGACCAAATATTCATATACTAACCTAGCCTAACCGATCTAAATAATATTAGTTTTTTTGGACAGCTCCGATCTAAATAATAATTGTTTTTTCAGCCCTCGGCAACTCGGCTTCTTGGTCGCCTTCGGCGACCAAATATTCATATACTAACCTAACCTAACCGATCTAAATAATATTAGTTTTTTTGGACAGCTCCGATCTAAATAAATATTGTTTATTCAGCCCTCGGCAACTCGGCTTCTTGGTCGCCTTCGGCGACCAAATATTCATATACTAACCTAACCTAACCGATCTAAATAATATTAGTTTTTTTGGACAGCTCCGATCTAAATAATAATTGTTTTTTCAGCCCTCGGCAACTCGGCTTCTTGGTCGCCTTCGGCGACCAAATATTCATATACTAACCTAACCTAACCGATCTAAATAATATTAGTTTTTTTGGACAGCTCCGATCTAAATAAATATTGTTTATTCAGCCCTCGGCAACTCGGCTTCTTGGTCGCCTTCGGCGACCAAATATTCATATACTAACCTAACCTAACCGATCTAAATAATATTAGTTTTTTTGGACAGCTCCGATCTAAATAATAATTGTTTTTTCAGCCCTCGGCAACTCGGCTTCTTGGTCGCCTTCGGCGACCAAATATTCATATACTAACCTAACCTAACCGAACTAAATAATATTTGTTTTTTTGGACAGCTCCGGCGCTACGGGAAATGCAGCCCCTCCACCCTTGCGTACCAAAGCACAGGCAGTTTATTCAAGCCTCCGCAACCTCGGCTTTCTGGTCGCCTTCGGCGACCAGCCTCAGCCGCTACAGCTTTCATAATGCCTGTGCTTTGTTACAGCGGGTGGGGGATGCTCTTCCTCCGCGCCTCCGATTATTTATAAACACTCTAGGGGTAAGGCAGACAAGACCACGTGGATAGTGGGGTGCTCTGATTCGGTTTTGGGTACTTTTTGAATAATTTAAAAATTTTCGGAACCATACATTAATTGAAACATGAAGTTAATGTAATGTATGTACATTTGACAAGTAATGATTAAATTAGGTTCAACTATAAAATTAACAAATCAGAAAATAATCGATCCGATTAATTTACCGAGAATGTCACCTCACTTATAACCAACAGAAAACGAGAATGACACATCTCTTATAACCAATAGAAAAGTAGATAATGGTGGATTGTTTACAAATTTCAATACATTTCACAAAACTTTAAATTTTTTTTAAAAATACTTTGACGCATTTCCGGCAGCTAAAATTACTTGGAGGTGTTCCAATCAAGGTCCCCGAGGACTCCTGCATAATCAGTATCATCAGATTCCAACGCACTATTATCGCACCCAACCCGATATATTTAACACGATATAGTACGTGTCACGTTTGTTATTTATCTTTCAAAAAAGCTCGCAGGCTTATATTACTTGACTTTTAAAGTAGAATTTATTGTGTAATGGACTGAAAAATATGTTTAGCTGTGTCTATAAACAATGTTTAAATTGTTGTAAAATCGTCGATATTAAACAACTATTGTTTGATAATTTTGTTGTTGTCGAAACTCACTGCCATCATTTTTTTTCGTTTAATAAAATATCTAACAATTTAGCATGTTTTTTTTTTATAAATAAAAATGTTTTAACCTGTATCATGGAGTTTTGTAAATAATGTAAATAGTAATAACTAAATCGTTTATATTCAAAGTTATTTTAATTTTACAGTCATACGAGTAAAATCTGTTATCAAAATATTATAAGAGGAAAGATGTGCATTTTTGTATGGTTGTAAGGCGTAAACTCAAAACGAATGAACCGATTTCTAAATATCTTTAGAATTAAGGTCAGGACGCTAGTGTATACAATTAATTGTAATAAATATAACATAATATCCACACTGATCAATCATAATTTAATCTTATTTGCATAATATTAAAGTCATTTCATTGAAAGTGCTAAGATTGCAGAATAAGGAGCTTCTTTAATATGTCAAAGATCATACACCAGACACGTAATAATTACTTCATATTATAAATGATAATTATAGCTAGTATTAATCATTCTAAAAGTGGTTCCGAGTTTCTTGACGTCTCTTCACCAAACCGAGTTCTTAAGTTGTAGTAAATTTAAATGTGCTTTGCAAACTTGTTTAAATTTACGGCTTCTTGATACATTTATCTATTGTCCATTCTTTAGTCGATAAACGATGAAAATGCATTCCTTAACAAGGGTTTTAACTTAGCAATCAGCTTTTATCTTTAAGACAGGCTATGAAACCGCAAGCTTCCGGCTAATTTAAATCAATAGTTAGAAAACCTCGTTATAAAATTTGATCATACAAAATATTATGCGCAAACATACCTATCGTTTGCCTGATTTACACGACAATTACAGAGATTTAATGTATTATAATTATTCAATTTGGCACGAGTAATGAGCAAATTTAAGCTACGAATAAAAACATTAAATAATTCTCGTTAGTTACCAAATCATACTTTGATTGATAATTTAATTAACCTTACAATAACAATTAGTGATTTTGTAGAATGACTCATGATAGATTTCGTGTGAAATCTTTATACGACTTCATGCTTTTCCTAAAAATATTTACATAACAGCGAAAGCTATATACCGAGATTCCAAACGATCAATTAAATGTCAAAGATCAATCGATTCAGATACGTAAGCATTATATCGCTACTGGTTTCATGCAAATTACTGGGGAGTACCGTTTGGCAAGTGATAAACACTGTTTCTCTCAACCAGGAAGGATGATTATCAAAGTATAGTGGCTTGACTGCGATTATGAAATCGGAATCAATTTTTGCATGGTATGTTTGCTCATAACCGAAGTTAGTTATTAAATTAATTACATTTGATTGTTAAATTATTTGAATAATAAATAACTATACCTCATGTTATCAATGAGGATGACCGTTGCCGCACACTTTTGTAATCAAATGTTTTAAATTTATCTTAGCTATATCTAATATATTAATGTTAGATTTTCGTTCAATAGGTCTAACTTTAAATTTTGATAAATGTGAAATGTATCTCTATTGTGAGAATTTGGACACACGACGACACAATAAAAAAAATTAAAGGTGCTAATCAAAGATTTAAGTTGGCGCCTGTGTGATCCCAGGTGCTGGTGCTTTCCTCGCTCAACGAATAATTATCGCAATACAGCGAGGAAATGCTGCCAGCGTTAAAGTTTTTAAAATTTGATTTAATTTTCTATGTATTAATTTTTATTATTACTATGTTAAGAATATTGTAAATTCTGGAAATAAATACCTTTGGAAAGTGATACTTATTAAAAATATTAATTGTTAGTAATTAGTTTCTGGTTTTAAAATAACTATATAAGTGACCAATTAACCCTAAATACAAGAAGTGTATCTGTTAATTGTCCCTTCTATGATAAAAAAGTACTTGAGGTGTAATTCATTTGATTACAAATAGAGTTATCTTCCTGGTTGCGAGACAATGTAATTTCGTAAGGTTTTCGTTGAGTTTCCCATCAACAGATCCTATCAGCTCAATCGTTGCTCAGCTGTTTTAAAATAAGATTTTCGTGATGTTAAATAAGCAGAAGTAGTAATTGTAATGAGACGTAATATTTGGATTTGTCAGTAATATAATTTTATACAATAGATGTTTCATAACTTTTTAGAATATTTCCTCACTCTAATAAGCCATTAAATGGGTTTATTATAAGTATAATATATATTTAACCTAAGCTTATCTGTTGAGGGTCATTCAACCAAAGAATGTGAGCGTAGGAAATTATCAAAACAATGGTTCACGAAACAATAACTAGAACGTTTATCGAAACTGTTTTCAATTGCATGATCAAATCGTT